TTTACATCGCATGCCCCCCGGACGCCTCCCTCGGGAGGTGCTCGGGTGCCGTCCCTCTGGGAAGAGACCTAGGGGAAGACCTAGGACACGCTGGAGCGACTACGTCGCTCGGCTGGCCTGGGAACGCCTTGGGGTCCCCCCAGAAGAGCTAGAGGAAGTTTCGAGGGAGAGGGAAGTCTGGGTGTCCCTGCTCAGACTGTTGCCCCCGCGACCCGGCCCCGGATAAGCGGTTGAAGATGGATGGATGGATGGCATTTAGTATGAAAATCCAGGTCTAAACAGTATCATTGTAACATCTATTAATGTTAAATGTCCTTACATTGAAAAACGTAACTCTAACAATCTTTCTTTAATATTATTTTTACATTTATTTCACTCTTCACTTAATTCCATATATTGTGTAATCTGACAACATTTTCATGCTCTGTGTCCTCACTCTGATCTAGCCCCACATTGTACGTCTTCCAAATTTCCCAACCTGCCACAGGTATGTTGCACTGGCTTCCAGTCCACTGCAAATTTATTGAAGCCCAGACTCCAGTAGTATTGGTATGGTACTCAATATTGGCCGGTACATCAATTCAAATATTTGTATTAGGACAACCTTCATTTATATTTCATTCTATCTTCGTTTGAAAAAATGTTGCATTTTTTTTATATGACTATCAATAAAAGAATTTAGTATTTAAGAAACCTCGCTGACTTGAAGAATCAGGGTTGCTGTATGATGTCTTTAAGGTTGCTCTTTCATTAATGAGGTGAAGTGCTACTCTGTGATTGATAACTTTGCCATGTTTTACGTATCAATGGACAGGATTATGTGATGTAATTAGTAATTTGTCCAACTTTACTACTCCCACACTGAAGACATAATTGCAAAGCTCACTTACTGAGGTAATTGTTCTGAATACTTTTCTCCTGTACTGTATGTAGTGTGTTTGTGTGCATGCATGCACACGTTTGTGTGTGCTTGTTGTCTTAGACTGACAGCTTTTTTTCCCCATAGCCTTTGATGTGTGTTTACAACAATGCCAACCTTCAACATGTAGACACCCTAGCACACTCACTGGTGCATGCACACAGGTGTTCTACAAAGTTGCAAGGGTTTTCTGTTGAATGACGGCCCAGAGAGAAGGGGAGGTGGTGAGAGGCAGAAGTGGAGGAGGGAGGCAGAGGTGTGGAGGTGAAGACAGCGGGACACTCAGAAACAGACTGTCTTTGTGCCGCGGCAGGCTGCTGTGTGTTTAATTCACGTGTTGCTGGGTATATGGGAGAAAGATTTCATCTTTTTTAAACTGTTTTTCAGGCGTTTCTGGGGTTGGGGGAAGGGAAGAACTAAAGAAGCTAAAGAAGTGTGTTTTTTCACTTATTGCAGCACTTTTTAAAACTTGATGCCTACATTTTTACAAGTGCTTCTTGTCAACAAACCACCTACTCTGAAAATGTTCTCAGTTACAGGTTTTCTGATAACAAAAAACTGTTCCAGCTACTGTGAAGCCTTTTAAGCTTTTGTATTTACAATAAATAGGAAGGTAAAAAATATATAAAAAATCCAAATAAATAAAAACCTGTTGATGAAATATCAATACACAGAATAGGAATTTAAATTGTTTTTTATTGTGTTTTATTTATTCAACCTTCCTGATGGCTGCTTGGATAAGAGCATGGTTGAGTGCAAAGAATTTCATTGTCACTGCAGCACTTTAAGCCTTAATGCAAAACATGTTGCTGCTGAGTCTGGACAGCAGGTCTAACGTTGGCTATGAGAATACTGGTTCAGGCAGTCGGTGCAGCTGAGGTTCAGAACCAAAAAAATAAGGTTGGTGACAATAGCATTTATTGTACTTTAGGTTTGGATATTCTGTAGTAGCTAGAACAAAGTACAGCTAAAGATGAAATGATGTTGTGAAAAGATATCTTGTGTCAAATGTGCATATAAAATTGTGACCTCATAAATATAAGGATTATTCTTTTTTGTGTTCCCCCTTATTTAAATATTCCACAACACTAATTAAATCAAAACATATCTAATTTATAACAAATATAATGTTATTGAGGCTCTGTAAAAAAAACATCCATAGACTGTCATGTTCACCAGCGTTTCAGACATTTCTACTTAATTTATTTTTAAGGTTAGTCCCATATTAACAGTTTTTTAAGGAGCCCCAAGTATTGGACTAGTCTTTACTAGTGCCCAAGAACCAAAACCCAGTCTCAATAAAATAGAACACCACTTCTGAGGCTTTTGTTAAGTAGCAATGAAGAGGTTTAGAAGTGTTGTTAGGGTAAGGTTAGGTTTAAGCAGTATCTGTTTATGGCTGTAGTTGGTAAGAGGGTTGTGGTCAGGCTGTACAAATAAACATAATTGTCGAGTCCTTAGTTGGAGTGTGTGAGTGGGGGGGGGGGGGGGGGGGAGTTGATGAATCAGTGTCATGGTCCTCTGCTTCCCATGTCTCAGCTGCATTGTAAGTGATTAAATTAATTAGTATGAAATAAAGAATTAAACTCTTTCATTATGCCTCCCCCTCTCCGTTTCACTCTCTCTCTTCCTCCTTCTCTCGATCTCTCTCTCTATCTCTCCCTTTGATGTGTGATTATGAAGAAATATGACATTAGTCATGATCAATAGCGACCATATGCACACACATAATCAAATTAACTGTTCTGTGTTTGGAGAGTTTGATTGTTCACTGTACGTCCTCACATACCTAATTAAACAAACCTAATTATTTTTAACTGATTCATATCAGACGCCATCTAACTCAACATTTCAAATGCAGACACATTTTATTTTGCTTGTGTTTTTTTTTTTTTTTTACTTATTTCGCTCAAGTTTTTTGTTTATTTCCCTGTGCCTGGGCCTTTGATTTTGTTTTAAAATGACAAAACACCTAACCAGCATTTGTATGTGGGGGCAGTGTGACCTATATGGGTTGGTCTATTTGATCCATGTGGGCCCCATGTGAATCTACATAAACACATGAACACACCACATAGATCTCTAAATATCCCCATTGGTGAGGTCACAAAACTGTGGCAGAAACAGGAAGCTACTGTAATATAATATGTGAGCCTGTCTGCGTTGCACACATCATCTCCTCTGGCCACAATCACTGTCAAATCCTCACAAACTCTGCAGTGACTATGTGTGTGTGTGTACTTTTTATACAGTCAGTCAGTAGAGAATGTGAGAGGCCGTGGTGGATGCCAGCAGAGTGCGTTAGTGCACATGTGGTAGCTGAGTCATGCTGGAGCGAAACTACTCAGCTGTGACACACAGCACATAAAACACCAGCCACACTGTTTACTGTGCAGCAACGGTAAGGCCTCTCTCTCTCTCTCTCACACACACACACACAAACAAACATACACACACATACACACACACTGACTCTGTAAGTATACACACATTAGGCACATAATCATGCAAAGATGTTAAGCCAGGCCGTAACAATTTGGCAGAATGAAGTAAGCAGTTAAAGACTGTTGTAAATTTATTTTCTTAACAAAGTAAACTGAGCAATAAAAAGGAGCAAACAGAGAGAGATAAGCACATACTTTGAAAAAGAAGGATAAAAAATATCTCAAAATGAAGACGCTCCTGTTCTGGCATTTAAACTCGTCTGACTCCAAAGCTTGGAAGAAACATGGATTTTGGCTGTGGTCCAAGTCTGACTGCGTTGGGTGTGATAGAGGGTGTGAAGTTACTCATTTATGATCTGAAGGTGAAAGGAGCAATGCTGATAACAACTCCTTAATGGCAGAGGAAGGGTCCTAATGCTTCATTTGTTAGCAACAACAAAACAAAGACGTAAACGAATGTTTACGAGTGTGTCCTCTGACATGTGGCTACTATGACTGGGACATAAACAGAAGGTGTTAAAGTTTACAGACAGATAATTTAATGCCATCACCTGGCTATATTCTACCTTTAGTGGCTGCTCCTTTTAAACACAGTCTGGGAACCTGGACAATTTACTTCTTAACTTGTTACAAAAGGGAAACTGCAAAAGGCAAAAAGGCACAATATGGAGTTAAGTGGTCCAATGAAAATGACAGGAAAGAAATCAAGAACACGTGTTAGAAACGTAGTTAGTACTTGATGAAGGAATGTCAACAGACTGATGGTAAAAGTTCATCTTTTAGAAGAGTTTACATCAAGGTTTTTTTTTCCCAGGTTCTGTGGTTTACTCCCAATGTCTGAAAACATGTGCAACTAGATTCATTGGAAGTACAACTTTGGGGCAATGCCACACACACCACTGACAAAATTAATGAAAACAAGAAAGATAACGTTTATATGATTGTGGTAAATCTCTTATTGCTTTCCTTGAACAACATAATGAACCACTGGCAGCTGTTTGTCAGAAATCTATCATACTCTTCTTCAAACATTTAACAGTTATTTAATGGCATCTTCAACATTTTAGAGCTTTTATCCTCAACTTCTCCTACTGTGTCTCCTTCGGTCTACGTATGTGCGTTCGTGTGCGTGAGGCCTTGTAGGCGGGTTTTCCGCCAATAGGGTTTGGTTGATTCGGTATTGATTTGTTGGCGAGGCAGAAGAGGAGGAGAAAGTGAAAGGGGAAGAGGAGGAGGAGAAACTCCTGCCCTGAGAGTAAGACATAGAGGGAGGGGGAGAGGGACACACACACACACAGAGAGAAAGAGAGAGAGAGAGAGAGAGGGGTGATTGATAGACCGTGTTCGGGACGAGAGGAGAGAGAGAGAGAGAGAGAGAGAGAGGGGGGGAGAAAGAGCAGAGAAATCACAATCCCAGCGAAAGTCTGACCAAGAAGTGAATTGCCGCCTGGATTTGCACAGGGAAAAGTGACTTTGTTCCCGGAGACACTTCTGCTTCTCCTTTTTATTATTTTGTGTTTATATTTTGCTCCTTGTTTTGCCTTTTCACTCCTCTGCCCTGCATTCCGTGGAGCAGTTGTGCTTTAATGCGCACCCGAGGAGGCGAGGAAGGAGAGAACAGTGAGGAAGAAGAGCCCGAAGAAGGAGAAAGAGAAGGAGAAGAAGGAGTGAAGAGGCCTGGACACCACCCCTCCTCGCCCTCTGGAGCTCCGTCCACTCTCCCCTCCTGGCCCTGCATGGACGGGGATGGGGAGAGCCGGATGCAGTTACCGCGGGGCTGAGCGCCTCGCCTCCCCGTCTCCAGTGCGCCGCTTCCGGCCGCTGTTGCTGCTGGTCATCGCTGTGAGCTGCGGGGCTCACGGAGGTAATAAGTGATTACTACATGTACTTTAACACTGCAACAAACCACGAGTCACAACACTGTGATTAATATTTATTTTACGCACTCTCTACAGCCGACGTGCGCTCTTTCAGCTGCAGGAGCGACTGATCGACAAAGATTTGTTTGTAATGCGTGTCGCCGTCAGACGCGCAGCCATCAGGGGTAGTTTATTAGTGCAGTTATTAGCGTTAGTAATGGCTGTGTTAGGCCCAGATCTGCCTGACAATGGCTCTCTCTCCAGCGGCAGTGCAGCAGTCAGAGCACGGATCGAGTTTCTCCTCTCTCCTGGGCCGTCATTCTCCTGTCTGCCCCTTAATGGCTCATGGAGGAGGGGAAGAGAGGGACAGAGAGGGGGTCACAACCTCCTCTAATATCAACATAAAACACATCATTGCTTGACTTCGAGCAACGCATGAAAAGAAAGAGCCATTGAGGAAATAAATTGGTGGAAAAAACGGTGAGAAAAGTTTGGTTTTTAGTCGGAAATAGTACAATATATATATTATAAATATAATATATATATTCTTATATATATAAATTTTGCCATAAAGCAAAATGAGCTGAAAAAAACACTTTCAGCGGTGTCAAAAAACAATAATAATAAGCATGAACTCATTGTCAACAGAAAACCGAGCAGTGCTTTCTTATAAATAAATGGCTGTTTGTCTTCAAATATCTAACGCCAATCACAGGTGGCAGAGAAACAGACGTGACAAAGATCCTGTTGACTAAGAGCCAAAAGTTAACAAGGCGTTTGTGGGCATTACTGACGCTAATAAAGCGATAATTTACCAACTCCTTCTGAGATACACACTTGTTTACGCATTTAGAAGAAAAAAACAAACCCTAACACTCTTTAGTCAGAAGGCTGTCTTTTCCTTATTGTGTTGGTGTGTTGCACAGTCGTTTTGGCTGTTGTGGCAGCTGTCTGTTGAGCAGTCACACCTCGGGTAATTAGTTTAACACGGCTCAGACAGCAGGGCAAAACTGCCTCTACACACACACACAAAGCCTGATGGGAACAGAGAGACCCACTTCTTTTAAAGACTTTCTTGGCACCTTCCGCTCCGTTTGCATCACCTGGAAGGAATGTGCATTATAATCAGTCTTTGAAACCAGATATAATGTTGTTAATTTGTGAAATGTGTATATTTCAGTAAATGTATGCACATTTCCATTCACACCAGGTGTGGGCCATGTGTAACATAACATGGGATGGTTGTTCTGTTGACATTGGTCAGTGAAGAGAAACATTGTCTGTTGTATAAGCTCATGAAAGGTCCTGTATCTGAACTTCCAGGGCTGTTTTTGTGGTTTGCACTCACTGTGTGAGAGTGCACACAACAAGGTGATCAATAAGCACTTCTCAAGCCATTCTCTTGGATAAGACGTGATCCCACTCAATCTTTTCTGAACTCTGGAGATCAAAGAAGTTGTAGGCAGAACAAACTACAACGACAACAAAAACCTGGGAGATTCAGCTGGTGGATCTTTCAGCCTTTGACTGATGGAAGAGAAGGTGCCTCAGCACGCTGGGGAAGAGTGGATATAGAGATGACTGGAGGGTGAGGAGAGTGGTCAGAGGATCTGGCTGAGAGGGCTGAGAGCTGAAAACAGAGTAGGGCTGAAAGAAGCAAACAATTCAAGATGGTTAAAAAAATATGACAAGAATAGATCAGTGGAGATGATGCTTGAGCAAAAGAAAACATGAGACTTGTGTGATGCTCAAGTCAGTTGAGGGTTGGAGGGTAGTTTGAAAAAGAGAGGTTGATATGGGACACGTAGGGAATAGTGTAGACATTTCTGCCTGTCTTTATTGGATATACTGTATATATCTCTGGGAATGGAACAACCTAGACTGTGGCTTTATAAAAACCACCCTGACAGGAGTTCTTTTTTCTTTTCTCAGATATATGGTATCAAGTCAATTCAGTATCACTGGCTTGGTGTTACCACATATTCCCTATCTAAATGCGTAAAAGGGATTTTTCTTTAGAAGTACGGCAAAGGCATATGAAGCCAATGCCTTCACGAAAGACAAGACTGATAAAGCCTCGAAAAGTTTGAAAATGTGATATGATTACAGAAAATTATATTTCCCAAAAAAGCTCTGTGGTCGTTTGGTTAATTCATTAGAGTGATGCACTGCAGGGGGAGAATCGCCTGAAACCTCAGAAGAAGCTTGACGTCAGTAAAGTTTTTTTAAGAAACCCTTTGTCTATGACTTTCTGTTACACTGTCAGTTCCCTTTTCACTACGTCACCCTGCTGTGACAGCGTGACTGAATGTGTGCTTTTGTGTGTTTCAGAGCTTCAGGTACCCCTCAAACATGCTCTGATTAGATTGGAAGTGTTATCTGGGTTATAAGGGGCAGATAGGAGAGAAGTAGGCTGTCAGTGCAGCAGTCAGACACACAATGTGCCCTCAGTGCTCACAGTGTCTGTGCAGTAGTAGCTGGCGTGGAAGGTAGACAGTGTGTATGTGTGTGTGTAGGTTGCGGTGTCAGTTTTTTCACAGACTGGAGAGACATTCTGAATCCTGGTGTGAGTGGGGCTCTGCACCGGCTGCGCCCTGTCAGTAAAACTCAGAGCACTACTGCCCCCAAATGGTGGCATTCAGCTCCACCGTTTCCCCCCAATATCCAATCAATGGACAAAGAAGAGCTTGGAATGTGCTGTTTGCTTATGTTGTGTGTTTATGTGTCAGTGGTAACATTTCAAGTTAGGGTGTGATTTGTAGGGAATCTGTCACTTTCAGCAAAAAATGTGCTTTTCCTTCACTCTGAGATGATACAGTCATCTGTCCATGGCGTGAAAGAATGATAAGCAGTTCATAAGGACAGCAACTGTATTTGTCTATCTGTCTATCTCTTCTTCTCCCTCTCAGCTCTAATTTAATAGGAGCACACTGTGACTGATGCATTAGGACTGGTCTCTAATCTCTCCTTCGCTCTAACTCTCCCCCTCTCTCTCCCTCTCTCAACTTTCTTCTTCTCTCTCTCTTTCTGTTCTCAGTGTAATAAACGGTTGGTTTGACCCTGTTACACAGACAAATGTAGCCATAGATCACGAATCAGGGACAATTAAAGACCAAGGAATCTGGCCTTGGCTGATAATAAAGGACATCGTTCTGATTCATCTCCATTCCTCGGCCTGCGTATCATCAATAGACAATAAACAGACACAGTATTATTTATATGTTATGCCTTAAAAAAATATATTGCATTTGTGTCAAGAAAGAAAGCATTTATTCTTAAACCACTTCTATATCATCAACCTTTAGAGATAACCAAGGGTTTGTGGCCTGAAGCCAACTGAAATGACAAAGTCATTGGAGAATGAGAATCAGATTTTGGTTATTGCACATATACAGACTAATAAACATACAATGACATTTGTCCATGGGTTACCACAAGACCACAGGCGGCACCAATTTGGTCCATGAACTGTTGGTAGAAAAAAGAAAATAGCACATGTCCTGTTCGTCACAGTTCAGCCTAGTTAGGGTTAGGTATAGTAGATTGCCGACAATATTTATATATATACTTAAAAATAATCCCTAATAATTGTAACAATGGGGAACCAAGGGGGTTATAATTACTTTTTACACATTATACTATAATATAATATAATAATAATATAACACACATTACATGTATGTATTGTATTTACGAAAAAAAAGTTGACTTTGACTTTTGACTTTGATGAAGACAGACCTCTTCAAGGTCATTTCCATTTTGCCAGAGGTGCTACATCATTGTCAGAACTGGCTAAACCCCTGTCGGCATCTGGGTAAAAAAAATCTTGGTAATGTTTTCAGGTCAAACACACCTTGTATTGTCCACTTATCTCTGTCAATATAACACTATCCCTGTTAAAGATTTGTAAACGTCTTTTCACCTGCTCCACAGCAGTAAATAGAGTTATCTAATTCTGTGGGAAATGCTTTTTTATCTTTTCTGTGGCTGCTCTTTGGTTTATTACTCTTAAGGTTTATTACAGTCACTGAGCGGCACTGCTGATTGATCAAGGCTTTGAATGAGCGGACGTTTCTTTTGTCCTGTTTTATTAGGCCACTGGACTGTTACAACATGGTAGCATTGTGTGTTCCAGATCAAAGTTTACTTGGAGTACACAAACTTCGGCATCTAGTGTTAAAAAAAAAATCAAAAATATTCCTCTTTTCAAAATAAATTATTTAAAACCTGATGTTTTCTGTGTTTCCTCTTCAGGTCTCGGTCAAGTGGTCACCCCGCAGTGTCGCATCCAGAAGTGCACTACTGACTTTGTCTCTCTCACATCCCACCTGACACCGGCTGTGGATGGCTTTCACACTGAATTTTGCAAGGCATTACGTGCATACTCCGCCTGCACCCAGAGGACGGCCAAGTCCTGCCGGGGAAACCTGGTCTTCCACTCGGCTGTTCTGGGCATCTCAGACCTCATGAGCCAGAGGAACTGCTCCAGAGATGGGCCCACATCGTCCACACACCCTGAGATCCAGCCGGAGCCCTGCAATTACCACAGTCGCACACAGCATCTCCATACGCACTCGCATACACATTCACACACACACTCCCACAGCCACAGCAACTCTAGACCTGGGTACCTGTTCTGCGGGCTGTTTGGAGACCCACACCTGAGGACATTTAAGGACAGTTTCCAGACTTGTAAAGTGGAGGGGGCGTGGCCTCTCATTGATAATGACTATTTGTCAGTGCAGGTCACTAATGTTCCTGTGGTGCCTGGTTCCAGTGCAACAGCAACTAATAAGGTAAAGATTTTTCATTTTTTTAAACAGCCAGGGACTTAGTGTTCACCTTTGATGCCCTTTATATATTAAAATTTGAATGTACTTCTTGGTTTTCACATTTCCTCCCTAAAACACATCAAGTTCTGCAGTTGAATCTTGATATTTCTCTGTGAATGCCTTTTGACAGGCTTTTTTTTTTGTTAAGAAAAGACGTGGAGAGTAGTTTATTAGTCAGTCAGCAACACTGTGATGGGGAGGCTGTGTGTGTGTCAGATCTTGTTCAACCCGTGAACCTGAAATATGCGGCTTGAAATGTGAGCAAGGAGAGGACTGTGTTGTATTTGTCTAGCCGGGAGGACTTTAGCTTCTATGAAAAAACCAAACAAAATATTTCTTTCTGGCCAGAGTTCTGCCAAGGAATCAAGCAGTGTTTTGGCATTAAATGTAGAGATACAGGGTACGCCAGTTAGGTACTAACCAGGTACAAATGCTAGGCTAAAAAACTGGCGTATTTCTGATTCTGAAGAATTCAGTAACTTGTTCTCAGACACTTTGGTGTACTATTTGTCCGACTGCAACTACTGCCAACAAACTGGTGCCATGTGTTTGTTGGTTTGTTGGCTACTAACCTAAGAAATCTTCTTATGATTGGTGGCACCTGAGGCAGAAAGGACGGAAAACTTCTCAATCATAGACAGTTTGTATAAATGGATTGCAACACACTTATGTTGTCCAATGATATTTAATGCACTTGTATCACCATTTTTTTAAATTACTACCCATTTGTTAAGGTCAAAGGTCAGTTTGTAAAGGTCATTCGCCAGGTTTCTATTGGGCTATCCAGCATCAAATGCTATTCCCTTATCCCTTTCCCAATATTCACCTCCCCCTGTGTCACAACACCATCTCATTTACTTTCTTGGTTCATAAAGCTTGAGATAGCACTGTAAGTAAAATGTTAACTGAGTTTTAAATCAATTAAGAAACATCTCCATTTTATACAGAATTTTATACACAGATTTACAAAACAGAGCACATGTCAAACATTCCTTATCCTCACTGGCTGCATTGGGCCATGAACATGAACATTCTTGTACACACTCCATGGTTTTATTCTTCCAACTAACCCCCTCTGCCCCCACTCGGTGCCATATTTGATTAATAGTGAGAGGGCAAAAATTCTGTCTCTAATCTCAGAGTTCAAAATCCCATCAAATTGAACGTAGAAAAGAGCCCGACTCTCCCTGCTCAACTTTTTTGTGTCTGTTTTTCACTCGCTGACCCACAGATGTGAGGCACATGGATCTTGTGACCGTGTCTTTTGACTGAAGCAGTGTTGCAAAGCTAACATGGTTAATGGCTGCATGCAGCATAACCTCTAATGACATGGAATGAGATGCGTGAAAGAACCTACTGTGTATTTATGCCTGTGTGTTTGTTACAGTCCTATGAAACTGTGTGTCAGAAGTCTGTCATGTCTTATCTTGATATGGTGCAAAATTACAAACACACACGCACACACACACGCACACACACACACACACACACACACACACACATTCTTCCATAAGGGTGACAAGCCACACAAGCTGATCTTTGTGGTGTTAAAGAAGTAATGTTGATGTTTCCCCTGATGGCCAACCCTCTTTAGTTTAGTCGATAGCTTTAATTATTAAAGCACATACACACCCATGCATACACTTAGTCCTACACTTGCACCCACACACACACACACACACAAACCCGCTCACATTAAGCAAATAGTCGGGTTGCTACATTGTCAAACTAAAGGTCTAATCTTGTGTCAGAGGTGGGGCAAGTTATTACTCATGATTATTAGGGACACACACATTTTTTGCGCGCACACACACACACACACATTAACAGCCCTTAAGGCTTAATGGCCTGCCAGGCCTCATTCCTCACATCTGTCATGTGAACAAAGCAGCCATTCACCGTAACTATGATGTTAGTGCTAACCGTAATGCTCACACCACACCCTGTATACACCACTGCTTCCACTAACCAGTGGAGCTCTATGTATTTTTTTAATGTGTATACGTTCATGCGTGTGTGTACATGTTTGCGTGTGTGTGAGTGAGCCTGTACGTGTGCACGTGTCAGCATGTTTACATAGCTGCATCAAATTACAACTTGTTAAAAAGCCATTTAGTAATTTCTCAAATGTAGTTTGATGAGAGTCAATAACCTGTGTGTGTGTGTGTGTGTGGGTGGGTGGGTGGGTGGGTGGTTGGGTGTGCGTGCGTGCGCACGTGCTTGTGTGTGTGACTTTCAAACAGCATCATCAGTTAGAGCTGTAAGACTAGTTATTAATAATGTCGTGCAGGCCACTTTATATAAACAGACTCAAATCTGTGCCAAACATTTGGCTGTTTTGAATGACAGCTCATAATTAGCTTTTAATTAAAAAATATTTGCTGATTCATTTTGCACCATTTACATTATCAAGAATGTAAAGGTGGAGTATGCAGTGTTGTCACGGTTTACTGTGTATAAACAATGCACAGCTTCCTGTTGTCTGTGCAGCTGTTGTTATGTATGCAGTTGGAACTCCCTGGTCCATAAGGTGAATGTGTTGGGATGGCATTATTTCCTTTTTACATAAACGGTAACACAGCAGCACAGACAGTAGCTTCACAGTGAATCATAAACCCTCCGTGGAACACCCTGACTTCTCCTTCAGGTTTTAATGAGAACTGCCATACGTGGAGTTTAACTACATTTATCCAAAGAGAAGCTGACTCTAAAACTCTTCTCTGTCTGTCTGTCCACAGATCACCATCATCTTCAAACCATTCGAGGGCTGCACAGACCAGAGGGTCTACCAGGCCGTCACAGACAACCTCCCTGCTGCTTTTGATGATGGCACTGTGAGCAGTGGAGACCCCATTCATAGTCTCAGTGGCACAGATGGTGCCGGGAAGGTCCGGGCACTGTGGATCTCGGAGCGCAACCCTGGCCACCACGTGGAGCTGCACGCCGGCTACATCGGTGTAACTGTAATTGTACGCCAACTGGGACGCTACCTAACACTGGCAGTGAGGATCCCTGAAGAGCTGGCTCAGGCCTACGACGCCACCCAGGACTTGCAGCTCTGTCTGAATGGGTGCCCCAGTGCAGAACGCATCGATCAGGCGGGGCATCTTCCCCTGCCTGTTAACCCCCCTGCACTTGGCCTGCAGCTGCAGCAGCTGCGTCGACCCAGCTACTCCTCACAGACACAAGCGTACCCCTACGGTTCTTTGCAGGTTTTTAGCAATGAAGGGGCAAAGGAGCACTGTAGAGAGAAGCTGGAGGTGCAAGACATTTACTTCCACTCCTGTGTGTTTGATCTCCTGACCACCGGGGATGCTAATTTCACAGTGGCAGCGTACAGTGCCCAGAAGGACATGGAGAGTCTGCATCCACTTCGGGACAGGTGGAGGATTTACCCCCGTGGATCTGCCTCCTCCATCTTCCACTCTCATTTCCAAACTGTCGAACATCTCCCTCTCCTCCTGCTGTGTTCTCTGAGTGTGGCGTTGATGTAAAAGCTGGAGCAGAAGTTGTTCTTTGTGCCTGCATGCGTGTGGGTTTGTGTATTTCTGTGCACTAGAAATAGCGTATTTTGCAGAGCACTGATACCGAGCACTGATTCCTCTCGTGCGGAGACTGGCTAACGAGCTTGACAGTTACTGGGAAGAAGATGTTTTTGTAGGAGAGACGTTGGACTGTTGTGTCCTTCCTGCTACAATCAGCCCTCAGGTGGTGGAAAACACAGGAGACGTGAAGATGGCTAACCGTGTGTGTGGCCTCACCTTTGGATAAGATGCTATTGACTGCGAACAGCATTGACATGTGGGTGAACAGAGTGTGATAATATACTCTACAAACTGTAAATAGTTCATTTTGTCTCTAGTGCACAATGTAATGATGGCGTAGTTGTGTTTTTTGTGAAATTTTTTTATTACCTCAGACAGAGGATGTTTGTTCAAATTAAAGCACTTTATTTTGATTTTATATTCTTTACAGATCCACATCAGTGTTCGTTTCTGCTTTAACAAAAACACAAGCTAAAACAATAGATGGTCTTTTCAGTTGATTTTCCTGGAACTTCTAATCTAGATAAGTGAATGCATTCTTCCAGTGGCTGATTCAACTTCTCTGTTTTCAGTCAGTCAATGTGAGTTGTTCTGTTGAATGTACATGCTTTGCAGCAAATGGTATCAGTACCATGTCCTTGCTGTGTGTATTTCTTGTTTTTCCTCAGTCCTGATTTCAAATACGTGTGAGTGAGTGTGGCTGCATCATTTTTGCTGGTGACGTGCTTGAATCTGTCTTTGTTTCACCTGAGATTCACGTTTAAGATACGCCCTAGCTGTTATTGCCAGAAGACCGTTTTAATGCTGGCTCACGTTTGTGTTTTCCTTTTTTTAATTTGAGCCAGAGATGGATGGTGTGTGTTTTTATGCACAGTAAAAATATCTCACCACCAAACCAGCACCCTTGTCCATCTCACAGTTCCCTGTTCGTACACTTGCTACTGTACACGTTTCTTTTCCCTCCTACTGCCAGTGGTGAAGAGCTGCTCCTTGATAAAATATGTGTAATGATACTGCAGTTCAGACCAAATGCTGCAAATCACTGAGAAAACATGGCTTCAGAGTCTTCTGGGATACAAATACATCAGCACTGCCTCATGGAAAGTGAATGTCATTAGATTCCTGAAAAAATGCCAAAATCCTACAACTGTGAGTTTATTTTTCAATTATTTTGTGTTTTAATGTCCTCTTATTGATTGCTGAATCCCCAATTGTTTGGCAGTGTTGCCTCTTATATCATGTGCGAGTGCTGGAGTGACTGATCAGTGTTGAAATACTTAACTTATTTATGAACGTAGTGTCCTATAGAGGAAGTTAAGCTTCATATTCTTGCTGTTGGATAATTTAAAAAAAAAAACTTTGGATGTGATTGTACAGCCACCTAGTGGTGCACTGTTGCTATGTGTGTTCTGCTCAAAAAAGACAAAAATTATGAAACAAACCGTGTGCAAGTGTTTTATTGAGGAAAAAAAAAATCAATAAAGACAAAATGGTAAATGTGAATATTCTCATAATCGATACATATCAGCAGACAGAGCAAATACGCACTGTTACACAAAGCTTTATCATTTTTAAAATATTTTCCTGTTGTTTTTATGCAGAGACAGTAATGTTTAATAATGTTTCTCTGTTTTTTGTGAGTCATCAATCTACAATACCGGTGCAAAAATGATTACACTTTTTAAAAAAAAACACATTTATTGCATCATAATAAAAACTAATAACATTTTATTTGCTAAAGAAATTAGATGAGTTAAGAAAACGTAGGCTTATCTTGTGATGCATGACGTTCTTGTACTAAAGTACTTTTTGCAAAATCATCGTCTCAGAAAAATAAAAAGGTTTGAGTGTAAACAGTGAAACAAAAAACTTCAACAAACATCTAGCTACGAGTAAATACAGCAAACAACAGATTTATAAAAATTAAATACAATTATAATGGCAAATAGATTGTGCTCTGCCATAACTGCAAAGACAAAATGAAAAACATCCAGTCCAGTAGAGGTGATGCACATGTTAGTGAACAAATAGAGAGGACTGAGAAAAAAAAAAACAGAAGTGTTCAAGGCTGTGGTCAAGCTTTAGTGCATCTGAAACAGGGAACCATGTACTATGCCTGGAACTATGAAGCAATATTTAAAAAGAAAATCCAAGCAGTCAGCAGCAAAATAGGTTCTGGTTGTCTTACCGTTAACTTTTTTTCTATACTGTATATAACCAAACATCAGCATGCTAGCATCACAAACACAATATTTTACAGGAAAAAAAAAACACTACACCTTCCATTGCCTTACTTTTCAGCTCATCAAAGTTCTTGAAAGCTGTTAATACAGACATTTTAACCAGACCCATCTGTCTGAGGTTTGGTTTGAACACACACCGACGTTGGTTTCAAACTGCCACAGTCTGCATCACACCTGCTGGGTATTTAAGGAGGCCTGAAAACCCAGTGCCAAAAGATCTAAAGCATCTCCTTTGCTTGTCATTCTGACAGTAAATTATCTCCCATTAAATCTGTCATTAATCCAGGAAAGACTGCAGGAACACAGCTTCAACAAGCTGGAAGCTCTCAGTGTTCTGGCATCTGAAAATACAAATTGATGTGTTGAGTTTGATCATAACCACTAAGGTAGACGATTTGGTTGTGCTTACCATTTCATAACAACGTAGCAGGTCATCAGGGTGTTAAAGATGACTGTTTTCAGGAACAGAAGCCTGACACACAGAACAACCACCGTGTTTGTCCAAATGTAAATATCTGTGTGTCAAACCAAACACAGCAGTGTAAGGAACAACATCAAGGTCACTTCTGTACAGTCCATAGCAGAATCATATGAACAAACCTCCTCTGTAGTTATTTATGCTACAAATCTTTCCAGGATCACCTAAAAAAATATAAGAATTGAATAGAAATTCAAATATAGGAAATGATAAAATGTACATAATGTGAAACATATTTAAGGCTGCAGTGTCACTGACTTCCTGAAGTGGCACTGAAGTGTGGCCTGGTGACTTTTCGGTGTCGCCTGTGTGTCACACAGCAGGTGTAGGATGGCCAGTCATTGGTCATTACTGTGATAGTGGACACAGGGCTGTGACGCCGATGCCTGCTGCTGAGAGCCACACTGTGAGGTGTGAAAGACATGTTGTCCAGGAATGGTGATCTCCAGCTGACCTCCAGATGTCCCCTCCTGAGGTCACTGACCATGCAGATAAGCAGAGTCCAACCAAACCTTTCCCCAGACAGGTGGACAGGAGGAGCCAGAGAGGCCAGGACATTACCGTCTGCTCCTCCTCCTCGCGTGGCAGAAAATATTACATTCAATTATTGAATCGAATTAAACTACACCACAGAGGCCCATGAATGATATTTAAAAAAAAAATATTTGAATACGTACTTATTCCAATCATATTAACATGTAATAATTAACATATAATTAAAGGGGACAATGAGAAAAAGAATGATGAGAAATAAATAGAACCTTTTTATTCATTTTCCCCATCCACTACGTAAATGTTGATGACAGTTACACATAAAGCTGTATTGAAAAATTGTTTTTTGAAAAAATGAATTATGTGACATCAGATAGACTTAAAATGCTTTTTCTTTAATTATTTTCATTTTTTTTTTTTTTTTTGTCTTTGGTTTGGCCTTTTAGTCAATATAATAAAGTTCTAAAATAAAATCGATTTTCTGGCCAAAGTAATAACAGTAATAGCCTTACTTTATTAATGCCTTAATGGAAATTAAATTCTGTATTTAATCCATCTGTGATGCTGTCCTAGAAAGCAAAGGGTTTTTTAATGATTGCTCCTCACCCCCACAGCCTTGAGTTATAACTAATAAAGTTCTTTAACAGAATATATATAAATCACAAATGCACAACAATCTGCATTAATTCTTCTGCACATATCAATATCTTAAAACTACAGTCTACACGACAGTCTGACTGGGTACGACAGAATGTAGTAAATTAAATTTACCCAAATGAAAGCAGTTTAAAGTAGGCATTCTAATTTTCAGGTTCTCATATTATTTCCCATTTACATCAGGTGTGAAAGAATAAAAGCTCTTACCAGTCCACAGATAGATCATAGGGAGGTAGAGTAGACTCTTGGTCGCCTCAGTCATCTCTGCTTAATCAGGTTTTTACAACCAAATTAAATCAATTGTGTTCCATATGTTTTCTGTGTGCTTGTATTTCTGAAGCGAGTGTTTATGACTGAGTGGGATGGAGGTGTGACTAATAGGTGGGCTAGGCGCATTGCATCATGGGGGATTTAACTTAACGTTATACTGATAATTCTACTATATTCATCTAAACTAATGCACACAAACACAGAAAAACCCACATGTGAAGTTGGGGGCAGGGGGGAGACAGAGAGAGTTCAACCAGTAGTGATGACAAAGAAAAAAAAATATTGGAGGAATATGAATATGAACCGAAGTCATTCTGAGCAACAGGACATGCAGCTGCATTTGGCTGTTAGGTTGGAGGTGAGAGGCTGATCGTATCAACCTACTGAGGATTTAACTAAACTCTGGAAGGGTACAGCTGTGTTCCTCTTTCACACAAACACACACACACACTGAAATGTTAGTTTTATCATATCTTAAGCATCTTAAGTTGTAAATGTAATATTATTGATTACTGGTAAACCTTTTAAACTGTGAAAACCTCTTATTTTTGTCAAAGGTGCTATATAAAAAAGATAGACTAAATAATAAAATAATGAGTAAATTAATCAATCAGATAATTCTATCTATCTATCTCTCTATGTCTCTATCTATCTATCTATCTATCTATCGATCTATCTATCTATCTCTCTATCTATCTATCTATCTATCTCTCTATCTATCTATCTATCTCTCTATCTCTCTATCTATCTATCTATCTCTCTATCTCTCTATCTATCTATCTATCTATCTCTCTATCTCTCTATCTATCTATCTATCTCTCTATCTCTCTATCTATCTCTCTATCTATCTATCTATCTATCTATCTATCCATCTATCTATCTATCTATCTATCGATCTATCTATCTATCTCTCTATCTATCTATCTATCTCTCTATCTATCTATCTATCTATCTCTCTATCTATCTATCTATCTCTCTATCTCTCTATCTCTCTATCTCTCTATCTCTCTATCTATCTCTCTATCTATCTATCTATCTCTCTATCTCTCTATCTCTCTATCTATCTCTCTATCTATCTATCTATCTATCTATCGATCTATCTATCTATCTCTCTATCTATCTATCTATCTATCTATCCATCTATCTATCTATCTATAGGACTCACGGTTCTTTATTGTCATTACAACACATGAACGGAATTAGTAAAGCACCTCTCACTATCGTCTCCTCTTTCGCTCTCGTCCCGCCTCTTTTTCTCTCTGTCTTTCACACAAACACACACACAGACACAAAGTGTGGGCGGGAGGACTTAAAAAAAGAAAGTGAAAATAAACAGTACTGGCAACCAGGAAGAATGAAGAGTCAAAGTCACTGAGGTAAAGGCTTTTTATTTAGAATACACTCTAAACTAACATAATCTTAATTTTATTAACTTTTACATCCTACTTATCATGATATTTTAAATTTGTAACTATTAGTCTCAGATTGTTGTGACCATTATCAACATATTCCGATATTCTGCTGTGCTAAAGCTACCTAGTTAGCTTTAGCACAGCAGAATATCACTACCGGAATGCTGCACGTGTAAATTGATGTGAACTGCCATTCTGCTCGGACACCTGTTGTCACTTCACATTTATAGCTGTGTCCTTTCTTTGTTCTTTCTGTCTGACCTCAAAACCATTTGGTCAGTTTGTCACACATGTGCATGGAAATGTTTTTAGCTGCAGGGCTACAGCATAGTACAAACAAAGTGTGAGGTCAGTAAATAAAAGTGTAAGGAAAACTTCTGGAAAAGAGAGCCGTCGTCCGTTTACGTTTAAAAATAAGTTTGTGACCTCACCAACATTGAACATCACCAACATCACATTACCTTAGACGTTCATTAGATCAACATTCTATTTATTTATTTATTTTTTCAGATTAGTTATGCGCCTTTTAAGAAAATGATGTGTTCAATTATGTCTTTGCTCTGTTCTTTTGCCTCAGCAATATCACTGATGGGCTAGGGTTTGTCTCAACGTGTCCAAGGGGATTTTATTGTTGTCCTTTTGCTGATCAGAGAAGGAAGGGCAGCTCATCCATAATGGCTTCCGTGAGACTGTTACTACTATTTTTATTCAACCTACCTCTGGCTGAATGTTGGAGTTCACCAGGTTCGACCAACACTCTAGGAGAACCTTCTGTGGACACTCATAATCTATCTTTTCCATGGAGTCGTCTTCGTCTGCCAAGGTTCAGCACATGCTAATCTGTTTTATACTCACATCTAAACTGGAGTTTGGACCTCTCTTTGCAAAACAGTGATTTCTTTTTTTAAAAATTCTGGCATTTGTCTTTTCAAGGTACGTCATTCCTCTTCACTATCGCCTCCTCCTGCACCCTAACCTTACAAGCCTCAGCTTCACTGGCTCAGTGCAGATCCAGATTGCAGTCCAGAACAACACAAACTGGATTGTATTACACAGTAAGGGTCTGCAGATCTCCAGAGCCACCATATTGGATCAGAACCTTTCACCTCTTTCTGACCAGGTAGTTATGGATTTGAAAAAATCCCCTAAAATCCTTAACTAATAAAACCCTTAAAACTTACTTTAAAGCTGAATTGTTCATGTCAATGCAAAGAGTGTATGGCACCGTGATGCACTTGTCATGATAAATTGATACTCTCTGTCAAATGCTAATGCAATTTTCTTTTATTTTACACTCAGTCACAGACAGTTTTGCCTTCTTTTTCCTTTGTTTGCTGGTAGCTCTCCATAGACTTCTTTGTAATATTTTATCATTTATTTCTCAGCATCTTTGTGCAAAATGACTTAAAGGGCAGGGATTTGAACTCTTACAAGGCAGCGCTGTGTGCACTGTGTGAAAAGAAGTATGGAAGTGCCTTTCAAAACAGACAGCAGCACAGACAATGTGCTATCATACTGTATGTGAAACCAAGTCATGTTGCTTGGCACTTGTAATACTATTTTGAGCATATGTAGGGGCATCAGCATGTTGTAACAGACGTAAGTTTTATTTTGTAGTGACAAGGATTCGATTACAATCTAGTACTATGTTGTTTTATTCCAACTACTCAGTACTTAGTGACCATAAACAAAATTTGTGTTGGGAACTACAATGGTTTTGGTCTGTATTAACATAATCCTAAATAACTCAACATCACCATCTAAGATGTGTCTGCATGTAGCATCTCATCTGACATAATCATACAAATACTGCCTGCACTGCAGATAGGACTTGGGTTTAAGTGTCTTGTCCAGGAGCACATTAGCATGTAGACCATATAAGATGGACATTAACCTGAACCTTTGTCCGAAACCAAAGCCTTCTTCTCCTACAATAACTGATGTTGATTATTTTGTAGGTTCTCCCAGTGCTCTACAAGCCTTCACATGAGCAGATTGGCATTTTTTCTCCCAGGGTGCTCAGCACTGGACCAACTTACTTCCTGTATATTGAGTTTGGGGCAGATATTGCAGAAGGCTTCTCTGGTTTCTATCGTAGCACCTACAGAACCACTGCAGGAAAGACCAGGTAGGACGTTTACTCTATACTGTTGAAAATGTGTAATTCCAGTGTATATAATAAAGGAAAGATGGGTTTTTTTGTGTTTCTTTTTAAACTCCCAGAACTTTAGCTTCTACTCACTTTGAGCCAACCGATGCTCGCACAGCTTTCCCTTGTTTCGATGAGCCAAACTTCAAAGCCAACTTCTCTGTTCGAATCAGGAGAAGCCCAGCTCACATTGCTCTTTCCAACATGCCTGTTGTAAGTGTTATAACATGTGTCATAGCATTTCGAGTCCAATGTGCAAGAAAAAATATTCCAAATAGGTATTTGTGTGTCACAGGACAGGACAGTTAAGGTAAACTCTGAGCTGCTTGAGGACAGATTCGCCGTCAGTGTGAAGATGAGCACATACCTTGTGGCATTTGTCATCTGTGACTTCAGATCCATTTCTGCAACAACATCTACTGGAGTAAAGGTGTGGCATTGAAAGGTGCTTCATTCTTATTTATTGATGAAATGATATTTCGTCTGTATTTTATTTATCTGCTCATCTAAAGGTGTCCATCTATGCCGCTCCTGAGAAGTGGCCTCAGACCCACTATGCTCTGGATGTGGCTGTAAAAATGCTGGACTTCTATGAGAAGTACTTCAACATCCGCTATCCTTTACCCAAACAAGGTCAAATATATTTTGGTTTTCTGTATGTTTCTGTATGTTCCCACCTACTGTAGCAGTATATCTATGTATTTTCCCTGATTTGTGTTTTTCCTCCCTCAGACCTGATAGCCATTCCAGATTTTCAGTCTGGTGCAATGGAGAACTGGGGTCTGACGACCTACAGAGAGACAAGCCTTCTCTTTGACCCTCTGACCTCCTCGCTACATGACAAACTCTGGGTGACCATGGTGATTGGTCATGAACTTGCCCATCAGGTGAGACTATTTCCATCTTTCTGGCAGGTTTTTAGAGGTGTTTACCTTGGTTAAAATGCACTAATTTAGAAATGTTGTTAGTGGTTTGGTAATTTGGTGACGATGGTGTGGTGGAACGACATTTGGCTCAATGAAGGATTTGCCAGGTACATGGAGTACATTTCAGTGGAAGGAACATACCCTGAGCTTGCAGTGGTAAGAGCAAACACCAAAGGAGGGTTCTTGATGAAATAAATAAACAACATTTGGACTAAGAATTGATGGTAATGTTTCTGTGCATTTCTCGCAGGAGGAATATCTTCTGCACACTTGCTTTGCAGCTGTTGGCCTTGATTCATTGAATTCATCTCGCCCAATATCAAACGCAGCAGAGAGCCCAACTCAGATTGAAGAGATGTTTGACACAGTCTCTTATGACAAAGTATGTTTTCAGTAAATGTACAAATAAAGATATTATACCAGTCAACTGTAAAATTAACCAAAGAATTGTAAACAGTAAAGGTAAACACATTTATAATGATAATGGGATGCAGCCCTATTTGTCGCCAGCTCATCTATAACCCAGTGGCAAAAAACTAAACTTTGAAACCAACATCTAAAAGGCTTGTGGTGGATGTTTTTTTTTTTCCTTTCCTGCAACAGGGAGCATGTGTCCTTCACATGCTGAGGTACTTTCTGACTGACGATGTGTTCCAGAGTGGGATTGTGCGATATTTACGTAAATACAGCTACAAAAATGCACAGAACCAAGATCTGTGGGATAGCCTGTCAAATGTAAGATGAGAAATTGCTTTTATTGTTGTATGTTGTGAGCTAGAAATAAAATACTTACTTGTCACTTCTGCAGCTAAAATAAAAATACACACACACATACTGTATATATATGTATATATATACAGTATATAGGCAGGAATGTTGTTGAATTCAAAATATGGCTTAGTTTTGTACATGTGATTCAAGGACAGGCAGAAAAGCGTGCATAGCATAATGAATTTATATTATAATATAGCTAAATTTTGTTTTTCAGACATGCACAGAAGATGACTTTGTCTCTGGAAAGCACTGTTACACCAGTGAGCACGCCACCAGGAATGCAGTGAGTAAACACTGAAACAAACACTCTGTTACAAATGTTACACTATTTACCTTTGGTAATATCTGTATTTCTCTACAGTACATGTTTGCAGGAGAACATCTGAATCTGACAGCCATGATGAACACTTGGACTCTGCAGAAAGGCGTTCCTCTGGTAACTGTCACCAGGAGGGGGCCTCGTCTGCTGATCAGACAGAACAGATTTCTGAGGACGGTCATGCCTTCAGACCCACTGTGGCCCTCACTACAGAAGGGGTGAGCACTCACTTCCACCAACATAAGTGGTAGTATTTTAAAGATAGTTATACACAGGAATTGTGCATTGAATTTGTAATGTCACAGCAACTAGCTTCAGATCTTTCCCCAGCAGGTTCCTGCAGGTTGAATGCCAAGGTTAAGCAAATCCGAGCATTACCTGAATTTATAATAATAATAATAATAATAATAGTAATAATAATAATAATAAACTTTTTACCTGACCCTCCTCTTAATAATCATCTCCCCCTTTGGGTTTTAACTATAAGAAGACTTAATGAAAACAGAATCCGAGTGCATAATTACTGTAGAGCACAGATTTCCAGAGGCCCATGATAGGACTGCGAGTTTTCCAGCAAATTTACTTTTAAAAAGATTTAGGATATGCGATTTAAATTTAAATATGCCCTTGTCTAGTTTCCTTTGGCATATCCCACTGACATACAAGACAAATGGCTCCAGCTTAATTCACAGACACCTGATGACAACACACACAGGTAGGAACTTCACAAAAATACAAAATGTTTTGCTTTTTTATAGATTTTTCTTTAAACCTTTAACGTTATCAATTGTTCTTTTTGCCTGATTTTCAGACAGTATACATGTAGGAGAAGAAGTGAGCTGGGTGAAAGTGAACACTGACATGACTGGCTACTACCTGGTTCACTATGAGGACGGGGGCTGGGACAACATGATCGATCTCCTAAGAGAAAACCACACTGCTCTGAGCTACAAAGACAGGACTCACTTGATCCACAATGCTTTTCAACTGGTCACGTAAGCTCACTGTATCTGTGTTCTGTCTCTGTCTTTTTCTGCATTTGTTAGTTTTTTTTACTTTGCATGAAACCAGTTCTTTAAAAGTACGCCTGTGTTTTTTGTAGCGCTGGTCATTTGCCCATACATAAAGCCTTAGATCTTATTAGTTATCTTCAAAAGGAGACAAACACAGTTCCCCTCCTGGAAGGACTGGGATACCTGGACGCATTTTATCACTTAATTGAAAAAAGAAATGAGCCTGAGTTAACGCACATTCTGGGGGTAAGACAACAGACACATCTGTGATGTCTAAATAAAATGTTCAGTAGACTGAATTGATGATTGGTGTGTGTGTGTTTCTTGTGCACATTTGTGTAGTCCTACATTCTAAGATTTTTCCGTGAGGTCATCAATCAGCAAACTTGGAGTGATGAAGGCACAGTGTCACAACGACGGCTGAGGTCTGAGGTCCTGTCTCTTGCCTGTCATCTGAGTGACCCTTCCTGCATCCAGCAGGCCAAAAGTATTTTCAAGGACTGGCTTCATTCTAATGGAACTCTCAAGTTTGTCTAACTTCTATTTTATATTTTGATTATTTGGTTTGATTATAATTCATTCTCCTGAAAGTCCCCTGAAATTATATCATGTAGATATAATTTTTACAATAGTTCCAGTTTAGTAAAACTACACTCCACTGTATGCCGAAGTATATAAAATATTTTCCATTACTTCTTAAAGACAGTAAATTGTTGTTACACAGTTTACATAAAGGTCTACAAGTCCCTGAGGTTTGTTTGCGTTTGCTCCAGTTTACCCACAGATGTGGCACAGACTGTGTATTCAGTTGGAGCCCAGGACGACCACGGCTGGAAGACACTTTTACACACATACAACTTCTCCCTCTCTGAAGTTCTAAAAGACAAAATCCTTCATGCCCTGAGCCGTAGCACAGACATCAGCAAGTTGGAAAGGCAAGTCAACTTTCAACTGTGGTTTCCCATAGAGATAATGTTTCCACCTTGTGGTGCTAATAAAGAACTGCAGCGTAGTAGAGTAACATACAGTATTAACTGCCCAGGAAAGATTATACAGGATTAACTCACATATATTACAGGCTGCTGCAACTGGGTCTGGAAGGGAATGTGATTCGAATGCAGGATCTGTCTCATGTTGTACTTATGGTGGCGAGGAACCCACAGGGACATCACCTGTCCTGGAACTTTGTCAAAAAGAACTGGGACATGCTAGTCAAAAAGTTAGTATAACATGAAGCACTCACTTTGAATAATTGCATAACGTTGATGGAAGCATGTACACTATAACTGCCTCAATATTGTACCTTTCTAATCGGCAGGTTTCACTTGGGATCATTCTCTATTAGAAACATCCTGATTGGCACCACAAGCCAGTTTTCCACCCAAGAGGAACTCAATGATGTAAGAATACACCTAGAATGTTCACTTCATGTATGGACTGAGGACCTAACAGTGTCAACATGTGTAAAGTAACTGCAGTTCTTAACAGTTGATGGTATATTTGATTTCCTCTTTATTTATTTATCAAATACTTCAATTTACACAATATTTCTACATTGTACAACTGAATCAGAAGCATTATTGAGTAACAGCTAGGAAAAATAACAATGTAATTTATATATAACTTTCAAATCAGAAGTTTATGTATAATTCCTTTCAATGTAAATATTGAATACTGACAAAAGATACACATGTACAACATTAAACTTTTTCTGTTTGACCTAGCCCTCATAAATATATATGTAAATAATTTGTTTGTTTTTTTTGTTTGTCCCCAGGTACAGCGTTTCTTTGAGTCCATCAAAGAACAGGCGTCTGAACTTAGAGCAACTCAGGTTGCTTTAGACAACGTGCAGAAAAATGTCCGCTGGATTCAGAGAAACCTGGAGACTCTGAGAAAGTGGCTTAGTGACCGTGTGAAGTGAATTAATTAATTTGCAACAAGAAAGGTGGTTGATATGAATTGTACTGTTTAGATGTTTTTTAATTGTAGTTTTTAATACAATGAATCCCACTCCATGTTGAACTGTACTTTCTATGAGCTTCAAAGGACAAAAATTGTTCAAATTAAATTGTGTTTGGTTAAACAAGTTATACTATTATTACATGGGAACTTTACATGTGTAGTCCTTAAAGGCTATACTTTTGGAGACTTATTTTGTAAAATTATAATTTCAGTATTATTGCAAAAGCACTTATTCAGGTCATGGATTTGTTTTAGGAAAACATTGTTTCTTCTTTACAAAACACAAAATGAGCTTGTGGGTGTGTTTATGGAAACATACTTTACATTGGGTTATTTGAATGCAAACTTCTTTTCACAACCAAATAAAATTGAGTTTTTTTCCCCCAACATAATCACATTAACACATTAAGATATTTTAATATCTATTAATTTCATTCTGCCAACCCTTGTCCAAACGTATTTATTTTTCATTGGGTTTTAGTAGAAGCTCTAAAATGTTTAAATAGCGTTACTGCCATCTAGCGGTTTATCCAGCGACATTGCAATAACTTTTTTGCAAAAGAGAGGAAATGAGAAAACGACACAGCATAATACATTCACTACGGCCTATTAAAAGTAAGGATATTAATTTATATGTTATCATATGGATATTTTTCATGGATTTCCATGGCAAATATAGAAATGCTAGTTTCTATTAATAGTAATATTAGTATTAGTAATATTGTTGTTGTTGTTATTTTATTAATGTATAATAAATTCCGACGTCTTCGTTGTAGATTAGGAAAGTGCGCGTTCATACAGTACCTCGTGCATGTGCAACAACCAAACTCCGCCGCTCTGTGTAGTTTTAGCCAATCACATACGAGTATTCTAAGTCGATGGGCGGTCGGCAACGGTTGTCTACAGAAGGAAACGTTTTTATCTTTATTTATTCTCAAGTGACGGTTGAAATGTAAAGTAACTTGTTTATGTTTCAGTTCCGTTAAAAACTATGGCGGATAAAGTTGTGTACCCCAGCTAGCGTTAGCTGAATTAGTGCATTGGTGACAGTCGGTGTTGGTGGAAGTTGTTTTCCTGTTAGCTGTAGCCTCTGTACAGTGAGGACCAGCTCACCATCGCCTGTGGTTATTGTGGTTTGGCCTCAGTATTGTCACGACAGTCTGTGAGGCTGCTGTCAAAGCGAACAACTGCTCTTGTTTCTGACGCTTGGCTGAAGGTCTGTGATAAATCATAACCATGGATCCGTTTGACAGCAGAATTACAGGTAAGAAAAACATATCATGGTCAGTCCTGTGTGTGATAGAGCTAACGGCAGAAGGCTAGCTAGATAACTGACGTTAGCTGCCCACATGCGCCCAGTCAGTGACATTTACTAGAGGACACAGTGGCCTGCTGTGACTTTTCTTTAATCCAATGAAGCTTAAAACTGTGGTTCATCTACTGTTTAAAACTGGACGCTGTGTGACAGTGTGTTGTCAGTGATAGTGACAACACGAAGACTTATTTTACTGCACACGACTCACTCTTACAGTCAAAACACATAGCAGAATAGCCTACTCCAAGCTTCATATTTTACCTGCTCTCCAATGCTTTTTAGAAAACATCTAAGGAAGTCAAATGATTAATTAAAGTTAGCAAGATACTATCTTAAAGTTTACTGAATGCATAGAAAAATACTTGAAAGTTATCCATAGAATACAAACAGTCGAAAGACTAACATCTGTTCTAAGTTAGCAACATTGCATGGAGAAATGATCCTGTAGATAACCTAATTTTACATCAAACACTAGCCAAATGTACTTACCAAACACACAAATATTATATTGCTAAAATATCAGCTTAGTATAGTAACGTTTTATTAGAACTGTGCTCTAGAGACAAAAAATTGACACATTAACAATGCTATTCTATAACCTCTTTTTCCTGACATGGGTAAAGCATAAGGTATGTTGAGTATGATAAGCAACTAGTGGCAAGTCTCTCAATGTCTGACCCAGGGACACTTTGAAAAGCAGCAGGATATGAATTCAAATCCCTCAGATTGAAAGATGAGCTCAGTTCTTACTGTGTAATGGCTGACACATTGGGTTTATTTCACTTCCTGCCAGTCAAGATGTTTTGCCCCTTGGTTTAGGAATATTGTTGTGGTAAGTGATAAATATTTTTTCATTCACCTGCAAAAGTTGATACTTTAAGACACATGATTCATTTTTCTAACTTCTTGTTTCACTTTACTAAAACAAAGTCACGCTGTTGCCACTGCTGTCTGTACAACCATAGCAGCATTACTTCCTTGTTTTAAAAGCGTTGGTTTTATTAGAGCTATGTTTTGTTACAGTATGGAGCAGCTGATAAGTAAAGCTTGGCTGCGTTGACCTACTGTTAGCTCTTTAAGAGTCTCTGCTGTGGCTCAGGCTTCCAGCGTTTCAATAAAACAAACAAAGAATGGTCAGAATAACAGCTCTCTATGAAGGAGAGGTTTTTCTTGACCTGAGAGAAGTGAAACCACACACATACCACTTTAACATCCTGTTTTTTGTTAATGTGCTTTAATTTTCAGTACACAAAAATGTTTGATGTGATAATAAACGACAAGATTTTAAACACCCACCAAACAACAATGTTGGGGCAAAGGCATATAATACGTTTCCCTCAAACACACAGGAAAAAACTTCATATAATGTAGATAAAATTCCCTCGTCTGCAGTATATAAATGTAGTTGATTATACATAAAGATCTTAAATGGATCAAAACTTTTGACCCAACAAACACATTTATTCATAAATGTTGTGTTGAAGCCGTTATTGTAACTGGACATCCAATAACTTTGCAAAATCTTGAATTATTCCACATTTATTAATTGTTATAGATATAACACAAATTAAAAGCTTTGACAACTCCCTACTCCCTTCAAATTGATCAAAGCATAACCGGTTAATATTCACATTCACTAAATGGTAGTCTACATAATAACAATCACATCAGGTCACATCACTTTCTAATGCTTTCTAACAATCAGCATCACAACATAGAGAGGGGACGCACAACCCAATTTTTATCCTACCCTCTGCTCTGGACATTTCATAGGCATTACCCACTACAGCCTATTTTTAAACATTGATACAACTGTAGTCAAAACAGAGACAGCCACGACACCCATATCACAAACACTGTACTGGA